TCCCAGCAGCGCCAAAAGTGAACAGACTGAGGTTTCAGTTCGCCATAAGCCCGGTAGCAGCCCCCCAGCACGAAAGCCACCCAAGAGGCATGTGATCAGGAGCTGCAGTGAGACAGTCGCAGAGCCCAGAGCAGAGAAATGAGATGCCCACCGTCTTCAGCCCTGGCCTGAGCGCCCCGGACACCTGGGTTGTATTTCAGACGCCTCTCTCTGAGACCATGCTACAGCCATGCCCACGTGCGGAGGAGCATAACCAGGCGGGAGGGGAAGGGTGTCCCCACAGCAGCTCTGCCCAACGAGACACCGCATTTCTCTGTACCCCGTCCTGGCCTTCCCTCCCATTCCCCATGAGATCTGCCAGCTGTGAATGTCAGGCAGTGCTGAAATGTCACAGATGTCACTGTTTCGGAGGCTGGCAAGGTCTCCTGTAAAAGGCCTGTGAATTTAAACCCTCCCCCCTCCCGCCCCACGCCATGACCTTAAAAGCGAAGAAATGGCTAGCCCTTGATGGAAAAGGAAAATATTGGTTACTGTGGTCTGAATGTTTGTATCCCCCCAGGAGGTGCTTAGGTCACGAGGGTGGAGCTCAGGGATGAGTGTCTTATTGCAGAGGCTCAAGAAAGGTCCCTGTCCCTTTGACCATGTGAGGACACGTCTATGAACCAGGAAGGCCAAGTCTGCCAGCATCCTGGTCTCGCGCTTCCCAGCCTCCAGAACCATGAGAAATAGATCCATGTGACTTATCAGCTGCCCCGCTTATGGTATTTTGTGATAGCCGCCCAAATGGACCAAGACACTCGTTTTTAACTGTTCACTTTCCTACCACCTGCTTAAACTCTTAAGAGTGTTCTAGAATAGTTTAAAACTGATGAAAAGTACCTCTCGATGGGAGGCCAGTGGTTCTCAACAGGGTACGATTTTTCCCCGGGGGACGTTAGGCAGTGCCTGGAGACATTTTTGATTAGCACAACTCGAGGGGCGGGGGGCGTTGTTGCCAGCATCTAGTGGGCAGAGGCCGGGGATGGTGCTCACATCTGGCCATGCACAGACCAGCCTCTTACAACACAATGTCAATAGTGAGAAAGACGTGCTGAGCCCATCATCCTGTATGCAGAGCATCGTTATCCTTTCATTATTCTAAGAACCTTGAACAGTATGCCAGGACTTAAGCCATAGCTTCTTTGTTCTCTTCCGCGGAGGGTGACAAGGAGGGATGGAGATTCAGGAGGGCGGGGAGCTAGGGAGGCAGACCCCCCCCCCCGCCCCCCGCACAAGAGTGGAGCAGGCGGGCTGGGCCTGAGAGCCTGTTCTCCGGCTGGTCCTCAGGACTCTGCCTCGCCCTGCCTCTGCCAGACGCCCATCTACAAGCCTGGCGTTTATCTTCTCTCTCTTTGCACCCGAATTAATAGCAGTAGCTGTGAAAAGAGGCAATGGCTTACTGATAATATTCCAGTCACTTTGGTTTCTTGTCTTAATTACCTTCCTAATTTGCACTTTGGGTGGAACACCTGGGGTGTGAGCTCCAGTCAGCTATGTTTTCCTCTGCTCCTTTTCCACCCAGCGGGTTCTTTCTACCATCTGTTGATCTTAAGTATCTGCCTTAATTCTCTTATTTATGTTCTTTCCGCGTGGGTAATTTGTCTTGGTCTCTCATTAGTTTCTCTCCCGGGTATTATCCTACCTTCAGACAAGGTAGCCACTGCGTTCCTTTTCCCCAAGGTTCTCTCCTTCCCCTGGTCGGGGGGGGGGGGGGGGCTTTGGCCCCCTCCCACAGGCAACTTGTGCTTTGGAAGCTGGTCTCACCCTAGGGCAGAGCCCGGAGGAGGAAGGGGCTCATTTTGCAATTCATCAGAGCAGGTTCCCTCACTGTTGGCCCAGGTAGAGGGTGGGGGCAGAGGCACTATGCATTCACTTTGCTCCAAACCTCTTTGGAGTACGGATTCAGATACCAGCTCTTGCCACCCACACCTGGGAGAAAGCCACAAGCCAGATCGGCAAATGGGTGGGGGTGGGGGAGAGTGGGGGACTGAGATTCGAGGCCTGGCTCTGCTTCTTGAGGCTTCTGTCCCTTTGAGCAGATGCTTTTTCTCCTGCCTTAACTGGGTACTCCCCTGCCCAACCTCCCAGAGCCACTGAGGGCATTTATATAAGTCAGAGTACCGGGACTTTTGCCAAATAACAAGAAGGGCTTAGTTTGCTAATTAATATAGGTCCTGTGGCTCTGGGCTGCACTATCATTTACATTAAAATGACTAATTAGAGCAAAATCTTTAACAAAAGAGCAGACCAACTGTTGTTTATAGTTTAGAGAAGGAAATTTTTTTCAGAGGAAGGGATATGCCCCTCTGGTGTCATAAAACACCCCTTAGTCCCTCCCTAGCTTTTGACACCTCTCCCCGGTGGGCCAGGGCCCCTGGTAAAGCTCTTTGCCTTGGAAACCCACAGTTACCTCTGAGAGAGGGTTGAGGGGCTGTGTTAGCACAAAACAAAGTTGAGAACAGCAGGTTTGTAAACACTGGACTCTGATGGTAGGAGACTGGCCAGATGGAGGCATCTCAGATGTCCTCCAACTTTCTGAGATTCAGAAGATGCATTAAAAGGCTTCCCCCATCCTGCTGTAAAGGATGCCTGGAACCCCCAGACATATCCATCGCAGCCCTCACTGAAATCCAGCCCCTCCCCTAGGACACTCCTCCTTTGGGAAGCTTGTCAGATGCATCAGGCAAATCTGGAGATGGTGAACATGCGTCCAAAGCCCTCCCTGGAGCTGTGGCTTCCTCTCCAACCTCAGAGGACTTTTCCAAAAGAGACAGAAAAGAACGCACGGCCAGGGAGAGTGAAGAGCCTGGACCTCAGAACCAGAGCCCGCCCGGGCTCTCAGACCAGCTCCCCCTCCCCTTTCCTCTCTGATGTGGGAGCAGAGGTGACGATCCCCACCTTTACTTCATGCTTCTAGCCCGGCATCTGGCCCACAGGTGGCCACCGGCCCCCCATTTTCAAAAGAAAGACCACAAAGACGCTAAGATCTTGAATACAAGGCCTAATTTAGAATCAGAGTCATCTCAGAGGAAAGACTTGCTGAATGAAGCCTCAGCCTTTGTGAAGAATTTACATCAGGAGGCTTAAAAATTGAGCAAACATAAATCCGTTTTTAAAAGCTTGATTTGAAACGTCTGGTTGCTCTGGCAGCGCCGACTTGGCTGGCCACCTCAGCCCCAGAGCTCATTAGAGGCACCGTCTCGGGCTTCTCAGCAGTCAGCTATGGTGTGAGCCATGCGTGCCGGGAGGATGCTGTCTGGCTTTGGAAAGACAGCCCCCCAAACCCTAAACTCTGAGTCTGACAGTGGCCCCAGAGTCATGCCACATCATCTGTGGGGTTTCCTGCACCTCTAGAGTCCTAGGATTCTGTATCCCATCATTGGTCATTATGAGAAATATGGGAAGATATTTGGTGGAGCATCAGAATCCCAAATTCTCAATCAGCAGCCTTCAGTGGCTATAGCCACCCGATAAGGTCCCCACAGGAGACTGAAGCACAGAGGGTAAACTGAGGCAAACAAAGAGCCCTTTATGCCTTAGCAGGGTCTTTGGACTCCAAACCCCACCGTGGTTTCTTGGTGAACCAGACTGAATTATAGGTGAGCTCTTAGGCCTTAACACAAGACAATTCTGAGCAATCCTTTGGTCTCCAGATGTCTCCTAGAGTCATCATTGCAAGCCCAGCGTCCTTCGCCCACCCCAGCTAAACAGGACACAAAGGACAAAAAGAGGCATTTCAAAGAGACAGTGAATCCCAAAAGAAAACAAGCCCTTCTCACTCAGTAGATTTTTCCCCTCTTCCCTCTTTACAACACAAAAGTTCCTCCTGGCCCCAAAAGCCCTTGGTCTTGATTCTGACCAATATTGGTAGTCCTCTTTCCGGCCTTGATTCAGAGGGGTCTTTAAATTCTCCCACAGATATCAGAAAGTGTTTTGTTGTTGTTGTTGTTGTTGTTTTAAGATTTTATTTATTTGAGAGAGAGAGACATAGCAAGAGAGGGAACACAAGCAGGGGGAGAGGGAGAGGCAGAAGCAGGCTTCCCACCGAGCAGGGAGCCCGATGTGGGGCTCGATCCCAGGACCCTGGGATCACGACCTGAGAAGGCAGACGCTTAATGACTGAGCCACCCAGGTGCCCCAGAAAGTGTTTTAACATTATGGGACTACCCCACTGATCCCAGGCCACTGGGACAGTTCCATTTTTCCATAATCTTTCCCTCTCTATCAGATACTCGTAGACCAGCATTGTCCTCCACATGTGATCAAAGTCAGGGTTTGGTAAGCTTGGCAGGCTCACTAGTCCCTCTGGAAAGGACTTGGGGGATTATCTTGCACATCCCCAAGCCTAAGCTAGACTATAGCCACACCATCTCAGAGTAGACTGGGACAGTCTACCATTTCAAGATGGCTCCTCAAACATACGGGAAGACATCACTGGGCTACATCAGCCTTCGATATCTTGTCACTTGAGCTAATAAAACCCTATGTGTTTAGCTCAGGAGTCAGTCATCAAGCTCTTTCTGTAAAGGGCCAGACAGTAAATATTTTAGGTCTTTGGGCCATACGGTCTCTGTCGCAACTACTCATCTCTGCTGATGTCACGCAAAACCAGCCATAGACAACTTGTCAACCGATAAGCATGGCAGTGTGCCAATGAAGCTTTATTTGTGAACACTAAAATTATGTAATTGTCATGGGTCATGAAATACTATTCTTTCTTTGATTTTTTTCCAATTATTTAAAAATGTAAAAATCATTCTTAGCTTACTAAGAACAAAAATAGGCACTGGGCTAGATTTGGCCCCCAGACCATTGTTGGCCAAACCCCCAGTTGAAACTCCTATTATGTGGATTTTCTGTTGATGGCAGCCTCATGCAGTCTCACCTGACACAGTGATGGTGATGTACCTTATTCGAAAATTGCTCCTAACCCCTCGTGGTTTTTTTTCTATGTGTTTCAGAGGGTCTTGCTGTCGGTGTTGGATTTGGGGCTGTAGAAAAGACAGCATCAGCCACCTTCGAGAGTGCCAGGTAAGCCAGCGCCCTAGAGCATGGCACGGCATCCAGTGGTGCTCTGGAAATGCTTGTTACCTGGGTGGGCACCCCCAGCCCCACTGGTGGAAGTGGGGGGCAAGGTCAGGTGAGGCTTACCTGAGAGAGGAACTCCATCAAAGAAGCAGATGTACGCCATTTGTCAGATGAGCTATCTAATGGGTAACCACTTTGAAAACACCCACATGCATATAATCACCTGCATCCCCCAAATCCTTTAAATGTATAAAGACTAAACACCAAAAACAAAACAAAACAAAAAAACAGAGCCAGCTCTGATGCTCTCACCTGCTCCCTCCTTTTAAAGCCCCCCCCCCTTCTCTTTCTGGACCCTGCACTTCCCTGCTTTCCCCCCTTAGTGTCTGTTCCTCTGCAGGTTCTCCTGCGGGCTTCTCATCCTGTGGCCCCTTCGGAAATGTTGGTGTTGCCCAGGAGCCGTCGCTGGGGCTCCCTTTCTCCCCACTTAGTGCAGTCCCCTTGGGGAACCTCCTCCATTTCCAAGACTTTATTTTCCATCTGTTTTCTGCGGATGCCAACGTTGGTGTTCAGCCTAGATTGTTTGCCGGAGCTTAGTCCTCCAGGTCCAGCCATCTTGCAGACATCTCCACTTAGATGTTTCTCGGGATCCCCATATTCAGCTGATTGCCTCCATCTGCCATCTGGCAAAACCTGCCCCTCCTGCAGGCTTCCCCAGCACCGCCTTGCCCCCAGCTGACCAAACCAAACTCACTGGTATCCTCCACTCCTTATTTCCATAGGCAGTCTTCCATAGATAATCACCGTACCTTATAAATTCTTCTTCCCTTCTACCTCCCTGGCGTTACAAAGCGCCTAGATGAGGCTACAGCCTTGGGACCACAAAAGGGCTTATCCTTTAGCCATCATGGAGATGGGCTCTACACGGTCCCCCATGCCTGCAAAACCATGAATACTACAGCCTCCGGGCTGGAGGAGAGCAGGGAGGAGCCTTCCATCCAAGGCTGGCAAAGTCAGGTGCCTTCAGGAGACTAAGGGGCAAGAAAACACGTGGACACAGTCATTGGGTGGAGACCGTTGGGAATGGTGAGGTCAGCTAGGCGGTGCATGCACTATCGAAAGGCACAATTATTTTAAAAATGAAACTCACGTTACAGAGATGGCCCAGGGACCACTGGTTTCTGACCCCTGCATCTAGCTCATTTCACTGCCTTCTGATTGAGGCAACCTGAAAATCGACCTCCCCCCCTCCGCCGCCCCATGAGGCAACGGCCCCGCCTCCTTCAGGGATCAACCTTGTGTCTATCCCCTGTGCTTGTCAGGAGCTCGCTTCTCCCAGAGCTCCTTTCCCGTGCTTCCTGGCGGCCGAACCTGCGTGAAGCCTCTTTATGCCCCGTCAACCTCCGTCTAGCTATTCCGTTGGCCGACATGGGGCCCCTGGGTGTTAGGTGTAGCCTCTGCCCGTTTTTAAATTCTAATGCTGCATGTTAGGGGACATGTGTGCTCCTTGAAGCCCCAGATGTGTGTGTGGGCTGGCAGGTTCCAAGTCGAAACTCTCCCTGTTCTCAGCTTCTCATTCCCGCCTGCCGGGCCTGCAAGTCACTCCAGCGTCGTCCGTTAACATGATGTCCATTGTGAAAACCAAATGAAAGGTAGATGGGGGGGGGGGCGTGGGGGAGAACTGTATGATGTGAGAAATGTCACCAAAATCAAGGGCGAATGGTGAATGATAATGCCCTGCAGACTGCATGGGGTGGGAGTGTGGCTCCGTGTCCCCCGCACAGCTGTGTTGATCTTGACCTCGCCTAGACCATGAGAAACTTCCAAGTCAGCAGGTGCTAGGGAGGCGCAGCGGCCCCGAGGGGCTGGCCCTGGAAGCATCCACAGGCCAGGTCCTCCCAGGGCACAGGCACCGCGCACGTTGCAGTAGGTCTGTGGCCCGCAGGTGACAGCCCTGGCCCCCATCCCTGTGCTCACAGGCCGGGCCTTCAGTCCAGTGGCGCCGTGTCTCCTGGGACATTGAGATGTCAACTCAGATGGCCCTCTCTTCTATCACCTGTACTTTCTGCTCATCTTGATAAATATTTCTGAAGAAAGTAGAGCAAAAACCTTTCTAACCCAGCTCCTTCCTTCCCTTTGACCAAGCAGGCTCTCTCGGAGTTACATAAACCCTCCACAGGACCCTCCCCATCCCACTGGGAGTGAGCTGGGGCTGCAGGCCTCGGGATTTTCAGCCTCACAAAACCCCCTGCTGAATGAGCTGCCAGGCGGGGGTTGGGGGGGGCGATTCTCACACCCCCGCACCGCACCCACCCCCAGCCACAGCCTGGGGGGCGGAGATGTTGGAGCTCTGGCACCATCACCGCTAGGTCCAGAGGGTCTCCCTCAAGCAGACCCCACCCTTCAGCCCATTTTCCCCACCCAGAAATCCATATCTAGTTCGTGATTTGGGTTTCTCCTTAACAAAGGCCTGTGATCATACCCTTGAGTGGGGGAAACTGCACAACAGCCCCCAGGCCAGGCTTGTGAGCTTTCTTGGCCCTTCGCTCACAGTTCAAATGAGTTTCCATGGGAGGATGGGGACCAGCGGGCGGTCGTCAAAAGGGAGCGAGGGAGAAGGAGGAAGAAAGCGACAGGCGAATAATGCCAGAGGGTGGGCTGCAAGAGCTAAGTCATCAGATGATTAAACACATCTCGTCAAAGAGACAGGTTTTGCTTGATAAAATTCCAGCTCCGTGTGCTATAGAAGCGGCTTGCTTCACATGTGACACGGGAAGGTTGGAAATAAAGGCATGAGAAAAGATACAAGGTACACGCTGACCAAAAGAAAGCGGAATGGCAGTTTTAGAATCAGACAAAACAGACTTTGAGGCAGAAAGCCGCATAAAGAATAAAGGTCAGTACTTCCCAAGAAGAGAAACTGCGCCCCAGGACTTTGTAACCCTGTGCATCTGTATGCACCTAGCAACGGTAAGTCTCAAACTGGTTAGGAATAATGGTCAGAATTGCAAGGAAAAAAAAGACAAAACCACCATCCTGGTGAGTGGTTATGATCCCCCTGTCCGGCACTGAGAAAACAGATGAAAAGTTAGCACCATGTCCATCACTGACGGATGCAGGGCCCCAACCTAGCAATTAGAAAACCTCCATTCTCTTTAAGCACACATGGGCATGTTTCCCAAAATTGAGGAGAGGGCTGTACCGCAGAGGTCAGAGCGCCCCTAAATCGATACCGTTCGGACCCCGGTCTGACCGCAGTGCGACATAACTGAAAATCACAGAAAAGATAGCCAAAATAGTTGGTTAGTGGGCCATAAGATTAGCGGAGCGTGAGCTCCAAGGGAGGGATACAAACCCAATGTGTGTCTCTTCCCTCCCATTGGGGGCGCTTCCGAGAACGCAGGGTACTTCATCAGGAGTGTGGGCGCGGGCACCCCGGAGAGGTGGAGATGACAGAGGCAGGGGACACTGTGAACAAGTGCCCACATTGGTCCCCAAGGCGTTTCTAGGGCCAGGCGAGGATGGAGTTCACATGGTGCTTCCTAGAAGGCAAGCCTGACGGCTGAGGAAGCCCATCATTGAGCAAGAGGTTGGCAGCTAGGGTGGGTTCTGATGCAGGGACCTGACAAAACCCAAGAGGTGATTTGAACAGCGATCTGGCTCTGATGGGATAATTTTGGGGGGAAGGGGTAGACCAGTGTGAAGAATTCAGCCCTCGAACAGATCGGTATTGACCACCCGCAGCTGGGCACCTGCATAGCTCCCAGGACGGCGAGGGAGGCGGTGACGGTGTGGGAATGAAGAGGGACCAGTGGGAGGGAGGAAGAGGTTTTCAGTGCAGAACCGCCTGATGGCAGCTGTCGGCTGATTTTGTTGTCACGTGGAAGGGAGAAGGGAGAATCAGGTTCGGGCAACAGGGAGATATAGGTAATCACGTGGCGCCGTGGAAGGGTCCCCAAGGAGGCAGTACGCATTTGCATGGACTTGGGAACAGAAGGTACCTGGCACGTGCCTGGGCTACACATGGGTCAAGCTCGCTGCTGTACATTTCGTGCAGGGGGTCAGCAAACTGCAGCCCATGGGCCAGATCCGGCCCAACGCCCGGTTCTGGAAATGGCATTTTCTTAGAACACAGCCAAAACCCGTGTGTTTTACATATCATCTGTCGCTCCTTCTGTGCTGTGATGGTTGAGTTGGGTAATTGCCACAGAATCTCGCGGCTGAAGGCTGAGAATATTTATTATTTGGCCCATTGCAGTGGAAGACCATAATTTTAGTCCAGATCTGTCATCAGACGCTCTGACGCATGCCCGCTAACTTTTGTACGACCTCTTGTGCCCTGTGTATAATGCATCTGGAAGCAGGAGGTTCTCTTCCCACCCACATGGTATCGCAGCCACCAGGAGAGAAGAGAAAGGTGCAAAGAAATACTCCCTTGAAGGCACGGGCTTCAATTCTGACCTGGACTCGGGCAGGACACGGGTGTATGATTTGTGTTTGGCTTCTGCCACCTAGTGTTCGGATGCTGTCACTTCACCTTTATGGCGCCCTCCCCAAGGCCCTCCTGAGCTCCCTCCACCTTTCCTTCCTCACTGGACAGCTTGCCTGGTGCTCTTCATCCAGAATTCAGCGTCCCCCTGAATTACAAAGAATCTCAGGCCTCAAAGGGCAGCCTGTGGCTCAAGGGAAACACGGCTTTTTTCTTTCTGATCTGGCCCCATAGCAATTTCTTCTGGTTTCACCACAAAGAAATTCTTCAGACCACATGTCCTTGGGGAGTTTGCTGCTTAAACAGTTTTCCTTTCTGAAGTGGCATTACCTCCAAAGAACGTGTTCCCCAGAGAGGAAACATGCCCTCTGCTCTCACTCGACTCCGTGGCAGGTATAATTCAAACCAGCAGGGAGAGCGAAGTTACTTATGCACAAGCATTTTGCTTCACATAGCAATTCCTATTTAGGCTTTGACTCAGCACACCCATTGGGAGGTGTCTGTCATCTTTGAA